CCAACATGGTGAAACATCTTCTCTACTAAAAATACAAAAATTAGCTGAGCATGGTGGCACGCGCTTGTAATCCCAGCTACTTGGGAGGCTGAGGCAGGATAATCGCTTGATCCCAAGAGGCAGAGGTTGCAGTGAGCCAAGATTGTGCCACTGCACTCCAGCCTGATGACAGAGTGAGACTCCAGCTCAGAAAAGAGAAAAAAAAAAAAAGAAAAGAAAAAGAAATATAGACATCACTTTTATATTCTCTCCCCGTCTCCCTCTCCATCTCAATTATATCCAGTCCTACCAGCTGCCAGATCAGTCCTTTTCTATCTCCACTGCCTCCACTAATCTTGTACTCATCAGTACCATTCATTCTTGGAACATTACATGAACAGCCTCTTCATTAGTCTTCCAGCTTCCCCTTTCACCTGCTTCAATTCTTTCTCCTCAGAGCAGCTGATAGGTCTTTCTAAACTCTTGAGCTATCATATGGCTTCCCTACTTAAAACTCTTCAATGAGCTCCTTCTCCTCTTAGGATAGGGACCAAAATGCTTAACACAACCCACAAAGCCATGTTGTGGACCATCTGCCTCTGCCTTCATCCTCAGCCTCATCTTGCATCCCATTCCTTCAACCTTTGTGCTCCAGCCACACTGGCCTTTCTGTTCCTTGACTCCACCATGATCTCCCTGGCCTCTGGGCTTTAGCACATGCTGTTCCTTCTCCCTGAAATACTCTCTCTCTTTTCTTTTCTTTTCTTTTTTTTTTTTTGAAACAGAATTTCACTCTTGTTGCCCAGGCTGGAGTGCAATGGCATGATCTCGGCTCACTGCAACCTCCGCCTCCCGGGTTCAAGCAATTCTCCTGCCCAAGTAGCTGGGATTACAGGCATGCACCACCAGGCCTGGCTAATTTTGTATTTTTTGTAGAGATGGAGTTTCACCATGTTGGTCAGGCTGGTCTTAAACTCCTGACCTCAGGTGATCCACCTGCCTCAGCTTCCCAAAGTGCTGGGATTACAGGTGTGAGCAATTGTGCCTGGCCTCATTCACTACACTCTGGCCACACTGGTCTCCTTCCTGTCCTTCCAATATTCCAAGCTCTTTGAGGCCTTGGGGTCTGCGTTGTGTCCTCTACTTGCAATGCTTTCTCTCTAAGCTCTCTTCACATTTGGCTAATTCTCATCTTTCATGAAGGTCACTTTCTTTTTCTTTCTTTTTTTTTTTTAATTTTTTATTTTTAGTAGAGATGAGGTCTCGCTATGTTGCCTAGGCTGGTCTCGAACTCCTGAGCTCAAGTGATCCTTCCACCTCAGCCTCCCAAAGTGCTAGGATTACAGGCACGAGCCACTGTGCTCAGTCAAATGTTACTTTCTCAGGACATTCTTTCCTGAGCACTTAAAAGCAGCTCCGTACCAGTTCCCTCCATCACATCTCCTCGCTTCTTTCATGATGCTTGTTACGATATAAAATTATTTATTTATCATTGATCTCCACCGAGAATTTAAGCTCTATTTTGTTCACCACTTTATCCTCAGAGCCTAGTTGGTGTATGGCATATAGTAGACTCATTGTAAATATCTGTTCGGATCCATGGAATCGATGGCGGATCTGGAATTTCTTCTTTGAAATGTGGAGGTGCTGCTCCTTTCTTCCAGCAGGTGGCGCCAAAGCTGTACCTGGTCCTTAGCGGAGGTGTGGGTGGGCTGTGAGGTTGGCAAGACAGGGCAGCAGGGCCGAGTGAAGAGGGAGAGACAGGGTTTGTTGTAGTAATGCTGGATTCAAGCATAGAGGAAGTCAATATGGCTCTTCTCCCAAAGAATAACTAGGTATGATCTGTCCAGAAGGGACCTAGAGTAGCCAACGACCCAAGAGACATTGCTTCCCCTCTTCACCCGTCCCACCCCCAAAGCAGCCCCCAAGAATTCAACAGGGGATCTTGGAAGAGGAGAGCAATTTTCTGTGAGTGTGAAACTGGAGAGAAGCAAGGGTGTTCGAGTCTAAATCCCCAGTTTAGGGGAAACTGTGACCTGGAGAGAGGTGTCACAGTGGGTCAGTGGGAGTTGGGTCTGATGCCCAGCCAAAGCCTGCTCTGGTCCCAGCTCCCATTCACTCAGCTCCACGTGCCTGCCCCACCCCACCATGCCTGGCCCTCCGCTCAGTGTAGGAGACCACCATGAAAGAGACGAACCCTTAGGGATGTCCCAAAGGCAGAGGGGTAGGGACTGCTTCAGAGGGGCTTGCTGGAGTCAAGACACATTGGATGGGTGTCTGCCAGGTGCAGCTGCAACAGGTGTGTCCTAGGGCCAGGTAGGTGGCCTGCAAAAAGAGCTGCGTCTAGATCTGGGTGTGGGGAGGTCAGTAGGGGTCTCAGACAGGAACTCACAGGATTTCTAGGAAACTTTTTGTTTTGTTTGAGACAGGGTCTTCCTCTGTTCCCCAGGCTGGAGTGCAATAGCACAATCATAGGTCACTGCAGCCTCAGATTCCTGGCAAGAGATCCTCCTGCTTCAGCTGCCTGGGTAGCTGGAACTACAAGTTGCAAGCCACCACACCTGACTAATTGTTTTTTCTTTTATAGAGTCGGGGTCTCACTATGTTGCCCAGGCTGGTCTTGAACTCCTGGCCTCGTAATCCTCACACTTCAGTCTCCCCAGTAGCTGGGATTACAGGCAGAGCCATTACATCCAGCTTACAGAAATGTTTCTAAACAGGCGAGCTACTGAGTTATCTTGGACAGTTTGCAGAAAGAAAGTGGGGAGATCAAATTAAAGTCAAGGAGACCAGACAGGATGCTGGTCTATTCACCCAGATAAGAGAGCATAATGCCTGAGAAGTAATGGTAGGGACAGGAAAGAAACAAGCTTGAGTGGTTTGGAAAACTTTTTTTTTTTTTTTTTTTTTGAGGCAGAGTCTTGCTGTATTGCCCAGGCTGGAGTGCAATGGCATGGTCTCGGCTCTTTGCAACCTCCGCCTCCCAGGTTCAAGCCATTCTCCTGCCCTCAGCCTCCCAAGTAGCTGGGATCATAGGCATGTGCCACCACGCCCGGATAGTTTTTGTTTGTTTGTTTTTTGTTTGTTTTTATTTATTTTATTTTTTTGAGACAGGTTCTTTCTGTCCCCCAGGTTGGAATGCAGTGGTGCAATCTCAGCTCACTGCAACTGCTGCCTCCCGGGTTCAAGAGATTCTCCTGCCTCTGCCTCTCGAGTAGCTGGGATTATAGGCATGCGCCAACACGCCTGGCTAATTTTTGTATTTTTAGTAGAGATGGGGTTTCACCATGTTGGCCAGGCTGGTCTTGAACTCCTGACCTCAGATGATCTGCTCGCCTCGGCCTCCCAAGGTGCTGGGATTACAGGCATGAGCCACTGCGCCTGGCCAAAAACTTTAATTTTTTTTAAAGACAGGACTTGGTGGTTACTGGTTAGAGTGGAGGGAGAGAGAAGGTATAAGTGGGCTTCTATAAACATTATCTCAGAGTCTCTGAGCAGGCTAGCTCCAGAGGCCAGACCAGACCCTAGGCTCCTGCTTTGCCCAGACAGCCTGACATGAGATGGCTGATGGAAAGACAGTGTGGGACTTGCCTTGGTGTTGACAAAACCACTGGGTCACCTAATAGCCTTAAGTGGTGGTTAAGAGCACAGGCACTATAGCCAACCTCAATTCAAGTATCAGTTCTTCCAGTGACTGTCCAATGACCTTGAGCAGGTTACTTAACTTTTCCCTGCGTCAGTTTCCTTATCTCTAACATGAGGATGACAATAATACCTTCCTCATAGGGAAGTTCTGACAACTATCTGAAGACTAACTGAATTCAAACTTATTACACACCTGCAACCATGCCTGTTAGTAATGCTTAATGTAACTTATCAAAGTAACCTGGCAGAACTTCATCAGTAAAAATGGAGGACCCACCTCCCACCCAAAATGGAGCCCCACACTCAAGGCAAGAACCAAGCCTGAATAGCCTAAGAGCTTCTCTTGTCTGGGCCTCATTTATCTATTAGTAGAATCAGGAGATTTGACAAGTAGCTCCTAATCCTGCCAACTTTGCCTTCTTGTGATTTTGGGGGCTTGGCCTAAGTGTGAGACCCAGTGGTGTGTTAGGCAAGCTCCTACCGGCTTGGAAGAGCCAACCGCTAAATGTTTAGGGAATGTTCAAAGTAGAACAACCATGGATAACTTGAAATTGGCTATGGTAGGAGTTATTCATACTATGGACGTCAGCCAGGCATTCCCAACTAGGCCTTCCCCACCACCCTGTTTCCTACTGGAGGTGTTTGTTTTTTGTCACCAGTGCCTCTGTGGTCGAATCCTCCCTCATCTGATACACGCATCCAGCAGGTACATTCTCACCTTTGAATACCATCAGTAACAGTTGTGGAGAAAGAACCACAGGTCTCCAGGGACCCCACAGGCCTCCAGCCCTGCCAGCCCTGCAGGCTCAGGCATTCACCAGGCAGGAAGCACAGTGTACAGGCACACCCAGAGCAAGCGTCTGCCTGCCGATCCCCTGGTCATTCTCAGACACAGGGAAGTAGACGGTGGTGATTACGGTATTGGAGTCTTTACAGAGTTGGGATAAAATTCCAGTTAGGTCACTCAAGGCTGTGTGACTTTAGCTAAATCCCTCTCTACACTAGGGTGTTCTTAGCAAGAGGCCAGGTGCAGTGACTCACACCTGTAATCCCACTACTTTGGGAGGCTAATACAGGAGGATTGCTTGAGTCCAGTGGGAAGGACTGGCCTGGGCAATATAGTGAGACCTCCATCTCTAGAAAAAAATCTAAAAATCAGCCAGGCGTGGTGGTGCATGCCTGTAGTCCCAGCTACTCAGGAGGGTGAAGCAGAAAGAAGGATTGCCTGAGCCGAGATTGCGCCACTGCACTCCAGCCACAACTTCAGACATGTTTGCCCCCACCCAGTAGCACCTGGGGCTGCATGTGTTCTCTAACAGAGTCTTAAGGCAGAAGGGCTCAGTGAGTGGCTGAGGACACAGACAGAAACAGGCAGCTGTTTTCCAGCTTTTATGAAAATTAATAACATTAATAGCTCACAGACATATACATACACACACATTGCTATGTACACAGTCATTAAGTTATTAATTAGGCTCTGTAAAAAAAGATTTCTACATTAGTGTTCCGGGCTAGGCCCGATCAGTCCTTGGCATATTCACAGTGGCAGCCCCAGGGCTTTGCCTCACGGGCGGGCAGAGGGGAGGCAGGAGGCCACAGAGCAGCCGGCCCTACGGTGAGCACAGCAAGGGTCCTGGGCCGCCTCCTTGAGTCTTCAGTTCCCTTCCTAGCACCTGCAGTCCAGCTGCTGAGCAAGCCGGCAGACAGGTCCTGATCCCTCCTGTGGCCTTCCGCATTGTGGCTTCGGGCAACATGGCGAGCCCTAGAGGATGCTAGCCAGCTCTGTGGAGTCTGTTTCTGAGCAGCCAGAGCTGCTGGCCTCGTCCCTGCAAGAGCCAGAGGAGATGGGTTGGAGGAAGCATCCATCCTTACCCCTCCCCAGCCCCACCTGCTTGCTTCCTTCCTCACGTGATCTTGGCCCTACTGTCGGACTAAAGTGAACCACAGGACAGTTTGCTCGCTCCCACTTTCAACTGTTGGTTGGTCTGTTTACTGTCCTTGCTGCACACAGGGTACTGCAAACCCCAGAACTACACTCTCGCCTGGGCTGGTTGACGGGCTGGCATGACTCCCTCCACCCTGCCCTCTGGTTTCCCCAGATGCAGGGTTCAGGCCACACTCGAGGTCCTATGTGCCAGGAGGCTGATGAAGACTGCAGTCTCTGGAGTCGGAATGCTGAGGCTCAAACCCCATCTCTGCCCCTTTCAGCTGGGTCAGCCACTCTTCCTGCTGAAACCTCAGCTTCTTCACCTGCAGAGGGGGATCCCTAAGAACCTGATATTTAGGGTTGTTGGAGGGATATGGGAGGTCATGGATGCACGCGTCCTATAACAAGCTCCTTAAGGGCAGAGATTTTTGTCTTGTTCGCTAGAGCAATCAATGCCTTGCACATAGTAGGCAGCCAGTATGCATTTGTTGGATAAAGGTAAGACCACTTAACACAGTGCCTGGTGCTTACTTAAGTGTTAGAGCTGTCCAGAGAAGATGTGTGGGGAGTGAGTCTGGACTTGGCCACAGGAGACACAAATTGAGGGTTTAGAGGCAACCATGTCCCCTCCTCCAGCATCCCGTCCCCTCCCCACTCACCTCAGTGCCTGCAGGGCCTTCTTATTCTGCCGCCGCCTCTCCTCATCTATGGGGTACAGTTTGAAGAGCAGCAGGCCCAGCAGGATGAGAACTATGGGAGCCATGGTCACGAGCATGTTCAGTGTAAACTTGACACGTTCCGGCTGCGAGCAGCCACGGGTCTGGTACCCTGCAAAGCTATGGGACCCAGGGGGCAGGAGAACGGTGAAGATGGGGCACCTGGGGCCTGGCCCCATCCAGTCCCGCCCCAGGTCCCCACCCCACTCACTCCAGACTGAGGGTGGAAATGCCCAGTGACACTCCAGAGGCAAACTTGGTGAAGAAGACATAGAAGGAGAAGAAGATGGGCTCGGTTCCGTGGAAGTGAGGCTGCTTCAGATGGAAGTCATCAATGACGTCAGGCAGCATGGACCTGGGCAGAGCAGTGACAGCCGTGAGGACCGACCCACCTAACGGGCCTCTGTGTTAATGAGAAGAGGTGGCCCTCTGGAAGCTTCAGTACCATGGCTACACAGCTCAGTGAGGAGATGGCACCTTCACATGAATAAGAAAAGGCCTCTTGCTCTAAGAGGAAGTAGCCCTGCCTGGAGGTGCTCAGCGTGGCAAGTGGAGCGCCTGCCAGATTATAGCCCCCATTTTTCACTCTGACTAGGTGTTCTTGCAAAGCTCACTACTTGTACAACTGTACAGGACAGACCTCCCTCACTCCTAACCTGGACCCACAGAATGGCCTGTGGGAGAACACCCCATAGAACTCTCCCCAAGGAGCTTCAAAACTGGGAACTAGGGGCTGGAGATAACCGAGGAGGGGGCCTGTATATACCTACCAGGGTAGTAAGAAGGCAGCTGCCACACTGATGCCAGCTGCCACAGCTACCACATACGTGATGATGAGGTTACTCTCCATGAGGGCCACCAAGACGAGAAATGGCACTGCTGACTAGGGAAGGGGGTGCAGGAAGATGACTCAGCTGGGAGGTTCCCCCCCAGACATCCCCAACTCAACCCAGGCTCTGCTCTTCAACCCCACTCACTGAGATCCCAATATACACAGCTGTCTTCTTGCCAAACCGGGTCAGGAACCACTGCCAGATGGGAATGGTGAAAGTGGCTGAGAGCTGTGGACAGACAAAGAGGGTTAAAGGGAGGTGCTTTAGAGCCACAGAGCCCTTCCTGCCCTTCCCAGAACCCCAAAGGGGGTTCCCGGCCCTGCCCAAGAGCAGCCAGATGACATCATATGGGCAGCAACAAGATGACAGGCACCTTTGATGGCTCCCCAGGGGAGCTCAGAGCTGGTCCAGGCCTACCTCGTCTGCTGCCCTCTCAAACCTCTGAGCCAAGTTCCTGGTGTCCTCACCCTTGCTTTTGCTGTGCTCGCTATTCAAACATCTAACCTTAAACTCTTTATTTCACAGTCCTACCTACGCAAGGTCCAACCAAATATCCTGAGAAGCCTCCCTCATCCTTTCATGACCTTGGGCCAGCCTGAGAAACATCCTCTGCCTATTCCAAGAACCATTCCACAGCCTATGCCACTTCAGCCTAGGCTGCCTGCCCTTGTTCAGGTCCCACACTCACCATGATGGCCAGGAGTAGATTCTGGAATTCATTGCGGAAGCCCAAGGTATAGGTGCAAAACAAGACAAAGTTCCCCTCCACCAGCTGGGCGTGGGGAAAGGTAGGGAAGGAAATGCAAGGAAGGAGGTGATGTTGGGGCTGAGCCTCCCCAAGACATCCCCCATGCTCCAGAGACCTCTGCTCACCCCATTCCCATTACAACCCCTTCTCAGGCTAAGCACATCAGACCCCCACTCACCATGAAAGCCAAGGAGGTGAAGAGGAAGCCGGTAATAAGCTTGACGTATGGGCCATGGCTCATAACCAGCCGTAGGCCCTGGAAGTAGGCGATCGGCTCAGCCTGCTGGGCTTCATAGGGTTCTGGGGGCCAGAGGGGACAGTGAGGAAGGAGCAGAGGCCCCTCCCAAAAGCCTGAGGGCCAGGCAGAAAGACACAGTTGTCCATGCTGAGGCCTGCACCCCTTCCCAGGCACCCCCTTACCTCTCTGCTCCCGCACGCCCAGGGTCAGGATGACAGCACAGATTACATAGATACAGATGATAACCCCCGCTGCCAGCAGGTATGCCTTTTGCTATAAGGAGGTGAAGGCGACATACAAGGACGGTCAGTTTAAGCTCATCCCAGCACCCCAGTTCCAGCAGCCCCATTCAGTGATCTTGGGCCAGTAGCCAGTCCCCTCCCCTCTGGGAGCCTCCTGTCTCCATGTGTGAAACGGGAGGATCACCCCAGGCCTGCTCTTGCTTCCCAGGACTGGACAGTTAGGATTCACAACATGCTCAGAAACCAGGCTGGTGGAGTGTGGCCCTCACACCTGTAATCCCAGGAGTTTGAGACCAGCCTGGGCAACTCTACAAATAATAATAAAAAAGAAACCAGGCTGCGGAGTCTGACAGCCCAGAATTCAAATCTTCCCAAATCTCTGCAATTCACCAACTTTATGACTCTGGGCAACTTATTCAGCCTCTCTAAGCTTCAGTTTCCTGTTCTGCAAAGTAGGTATATTGGGTCTATCAATTGTTATGTATATCAAATGCCCAACATTTACTTAATAAACACTAGCTGTTACTATCTTTAGGATGACTACAAACCACCTCATTGCTCCTTATCTCCCCAAATCCCTGCCCTGCCCAGGGCCTCACCGTTTCTCTGTGTGAGGTGGTGCCATGTGTATGGTTGGCACTTTGTGAAGCCACTGTAGAGCCATTGAGGTCCTGGAAACAAGGCGTGTCTGCTTGGCCCACGATTTGCCCCTGGATCGCCGTGCCCAGCACTGTGCCCAGCACTTCCACAGTCATCCCTGGCAGGAGAAAAGGAGGTGTTTCGGAGGGTCCTCATGGGTCGTGGGCCCAGGGAGGAAGGTCAAATGGGTGGGAGCCTAGCTGTAGCTCCAGGCAGGGTGAGTAGAGGTAGTGGGGTAGGTGACATCTTGGTCCGAACGCATATGCACCTCTCCAGGTCTCATCTGAGCAATAAGCGGATTGAGTTGTTTTTAAGATGGTTTCACACCCACACTCTAGAGCAGAGCAAAGAGCTGGACCCGCAAGGGAAGAAGTGTGGCTGGAGGGTCCCTGGAGGGTGGGATCAGGTGGGCTGGGGAGACTCACGATAGGCGGTGGCAGAATCTCGCTCAGTCTGCTCGGTGCTGATGAACATGGTGAGAGCCGAGTAGGGAACATGGAAACACTGGCGTGGAAGACAGGCCACTGGCAGTCAGGCAGGTGGACACACAGATGTAGCTTCCGGTACCAACCCTGGGGGCCCCAAGTACCGCCCTCCTCCTGGCCCCCAGAGACACCCAGAGGAGGTACCCACACTCACCGTGACCATCGTCTCAAAGAGGCAATAGAAAAGCAGGTACCAATAGGTCTGGCCGTGTGGGAAGTCGGGCACGAACCAGATGAGGAAGTAGGAGATGACGGCCAGGGGCGTGGAGAAGATGATCCTGAGGAAGAGGAGGGTGTGAGTGAGGCTAGAGGCTGGAGGCTGGAGGCTGGAGCCCAGGAGCCAGGGCTAGCCCAGACTGCTGTGCCTCACAGGGTCCCCACAGGGAAGGAAGGTAAGCTCTTCCTTTCTTCCCCATACTCCTGCCATCCACCCATCCTGGGCCTCTGGGAAGACGCTGATGGCCAAGCCTGGAATGGCAGATGGTAACTTGGGCCCCCAGACCAAAATCCTAGGCATGGAGTGTGAGCTCAGACCCTGAGTCTACTCCAGAGGCACCAGCCTCTAATGGGCTGAGAGAGGTAGGACGGGAGTCCAAGACCTCAGGTGGCTGGGCAAGGAGGCAGAGAGAAGGAACAGCCCCATCCCCCGTGTTCTCACACAGATACTCATCAACCGCACACACGCCCCCATCCCCGTGGTCTTTGCCACACAGATACTCACTAACCGCACACACACCCCATTCACACACACTCCATACCCCCATTCTCTCACACACCCCATTCACACATACCCATCATTCAAACACACACCCCATTCACACACACCCCCATTCACACACACACCCCACATTCACACACACACACACCCCATTCACACAATTCTACATTCACACACCCATACTTCCCATTCTCTCTGCCACACCCCATTCACATGCCATACCCATCATTCAAAACACATACCCCATTCACACACACACCCCACATTCACACACACACCCCATTCACACACCCCACATTCACACACACCCCATTCACACACACACCCCATCTACACACACACCCCATTCACACACTCCCACATTCACACACACCCCCTATCTACACACACACCTCCCACATTCACACACACACCCCATTCACACACCCCACATTCACACACACCCCTATCTACACACCCCCATTCACACACACCCCACATTCACACACACACCCCACATTCACACACACCCCCATTCACAATTCTACATTCACACACACACCCCACATTCACACACACACCCCATTCACACACACCCCCATTCACACCCTAAGCATTCACACACACACCCCCATTCACACACCCCATTCACACACACACACTCCCATTCACACACACACACCCCATTCACACACCCTACATTCACACACACAATTCTATCTACACACACACCCCATTCACACATACCCATCATTCAAACACACACCCCCCATTCACACACACACCCACATTCAAGCACACACCTCATTCACACACCCCCACATTCACACACACACCCCATTCACACACACACACACCCCATTCACACACACCCATTCACACACACACCCCATTCACATACAATCATCTACACACACACATACCCCATTCACACACACACCCATTCACACACACATCCCACATTCTCACACACCCATTCACACACACCCATACCCTACATTCACATACACCCATTCACACACACCCATCATTCACACACACCCCACATTCTCACACACATCCATTCACACACACACCCCACATTCACACACACACCCATTCACACACACACCCCATTCACACACACACCCATTCACACACACACACACACACACACACAGGGAAGCTGGCATGATGGGGAGAGGCCAGCTCCAAGCAAAGGAGAACTGAAGTCCTAGGTGGGCAAACGTCTGTCTTCCCTGTGTGAGTTCCACACCATCACAAGGGGTTAGACCGCAGGATGGACTAACCATGGCATCAGTATAGCAAGGCAGCACAGGCCATGGTAAAGAGAAAGGCCTTTGAGCCACTCTTCAGGGATTCCATTCTAGCTCCACCAACTAACTATAAAACTCAGTCTTGGAAGTTATTTAAATTATCTGAAGCTTGCCTCATTTCCTCAGAAGTTCCAATTATGGGCTGGGCGCTATTCTAATTACTTAGGATAACCAGAGAACAGATATAAAATCATTGCCCTTGTGGAACTTACATACTAGTTGGCAAACAGAAATTTGACATAGTTTAAAAGTTATATATATCATTCAACCTTCATAAGGAATAAAATTCTGACACACGCTACAACATAGATGAACCTTGAGGACACTAAGCCAAGGAAAATCAGCCAGACGCAAAAATATAAATATTGTATAATTTCACTCATGAGGTACCTAGAGTGGTCAAATTCATGAAGAAAGTTGAATAGTGGTTGCTAGGGGATGTAGGGAGAGGGGAGTGGGGAGTTAGTGTCTAATAGGTACAGAGCTTCACTTTGGAAGGATGTAATGGATGGATGGTGGTCACAAAGTGAATGTACTTAGGCTGGGTGCGGTGGCTCACGCCTGTAATCCCAGCACTTTGGGAGACCGAGGCGAGTGGATCACCTGAGGTCAGGAGTTCGAGATCAGCCTGCCCAATATGGCGAAACCCCCATCTCTACTAAAAATACTAAAAATTAGCCGGGCGTGGTGGCACACACCTGTAGTCCCAGCTCCTCAGGAGGCTGAAGCAGGAGAATCACCTGAACCTGGGAGGCGGAGGTTACAGTGAGCCAAGATCGCGCCACTGCGCCCCAGCCTGGTGACAGAGTGAGGCCCTGTCTCAAACAAACAAACTCCTTGATCATTACATCCTTAATGTGGAATGTTAAAACTGCACTGCCCAAAAAAGAAATATTAGAGAACCGACAGGTTAGTATCCCCGCTGTACCAAAAACAAAAACAAGAAACCGAAATGAATGTACTTAATGCCACTGAACTATATACTTAAAATGGCTATAATGGCAGTGGCACATGCCTGTTGTCCCAGCTACTTGGGAAACTGAGGCGAGAGGATTGCTTTTCCCCAGGAGTTTGAGTCCAGCCTGTGCAACATAGCAAGACTCTGTCTCGTAAACATTTTTTTAAGGTTATGGTAAATTTTATGTTACGTATACTTTATCTTAGTTTTACAATAGTGTTATGTAACGTGTTGGGAGATGAGTGCTATGAAGAAAAGAAATAAAGCTGGTTCCAGGGGCTTAGAGTAAGGATGCATGCAGTTCACAACTGGATGGACAAGGTAGGCCTTACTGAGAAGTTGGCATCCATGCCAAGGCCAGAATGAGAGGAGGGAATTGGCCTTTTAGACATCTGAGGCAAGAGTGGGCCAGGCAAAGGGAATAGTCAGTGCAAAGGCCTTTGGATAGGTACGTATCAGCAGGTCTGAGGAAGAGCAAGGCCAGGAGGGCTGGAGTGAAGAGAACGGGGAGATAGAATTAGGAGATGAGGTGGGAGTGGAAATGGAACTCCCGAAAGGCCATGGTAGGTGCCTTGGCTCTAGTTCACAGGATCGAAGTAACTTTGAGACTTGGTTGATACTAAAATGTCAAACAGTGTTTGGGACACTAAGTGCTATCATGATCACATCAGGGAAGCCCAGCAGGAGAGTTGGCATGCGTAACTAATGCAGGTCACACCAGGGGAGCTGTGGAGAGCCCTGGGCTGGGGAGGAGACCTCAGGCCCAGCTGTTGCTTGACACCTAGTCTCTCACACAGTGGCCTTGAGAACTCCAGAGAAAGTGACTGTCACAGTCTTTCTGATTTGGCCAGGAATGGTGGCTCACACCTGTAATCCCAGCACTTCAGGAGGCTGAGGCAGGAATATTGCTTGAGGCTGGGAGTTTAAGACCAGCCTGGGCAACATAGCAAGACCCCATCTCTATATGTGTGTGTGTGTGTGTTTTAATTAAAAAAAAGGAAAAGGGCCGGGCACAGTGGCTCATGCCTGTAATCCCAGCACTTTGGGAGGCCGAGGCAGGCAGATCACGAGGTCAGGAGATCAAGACCATCCTGGCTAACACGGTGAAACCCCGTCTCTATTAAAAGTAAAAAAATTAGCCAGACATGGTGGCGGGTACCTGTAGTCCCAGCTACTCGGGAGGCTGAGGCAGGAGAATGGTGTGAACCCGCGAGGCGGAGCTTGCAGTGAGCTGAGATCGCACCACTGCACTCCAGCCTGGGCGACAGAGCGAGACTCCAACTCGAAAAAAGAAAGGGAAAAGAAAAGTCTTCCTGGTTTCAAGAAGAGGATTTAAATGTAGACTCAGAACAGGGGCTGCCCTGAGGCCCAGAAGGAGAGAGGGCTACATGGCTAACAAACCCTGACAGACCCAGTTTCTTCCTATACTGAAAGGAAAGGGGGTTCCAGGTCTCCAGGCCTGGCCTGAGGAGGGGTCAGGTGGTATGGATGGGGAGGTCTGGCCAGGCATCGTGGCTCCTGCCTTTAATCCCAGCACTTAGGGAGGCAGAGACAGGAGAATAGCTTGAGCCCAGGAGTTTGAGACTAGCCTGAGCAACATAGCCAGACCCCATTCTCCACAAAATGGAAAAAAAGTTTGCACACTAGCCTTCAGCCCACAAGCCATCTCACGTGCACGCATACACAGGCACCACCAGACACAGAAGCACACGCACAAAGGTAGCTGCTAGATTGGAAACTGGCCTGAAGGGCCCCCAGCAACTTCCCCAAGCTGGCTGCCACACCTGCCCAGCAAGAGTCGCTCAGTTCCTACACGCCACAGGGAGGGCCTGCCCACCTCCACCTCTCCTGAATCTGTCTCCTCAGGGAACAAGAGCTCCTCATCAGCCTTTGTCAAACACTCCATCCTCTGCTTATAGGCAGCTGAGCAGCTGCTGCTGAGGAACCCAGTGTGACTGGGAGTAACCCGGCCTTCAGCCACCATGCCTGGGAGTAGCCGCCTCCCATTGGCTGGGCCTCATGAGGCGATGTGGCAGCAGAGCCTCGCCTTCTACTAGCTGCCAGGGAGGCGGGCACAGGGCCAAGTCTCCTGGGCTGGCGCCGGGGGAGCCCTGAGCAGCCTGCACAGGTAAGGCAGGCTGTCCTGCCCCCGGCCCTGAAGACTGGATCAAAGGCTCCAACCTGGGCCTTAGCCAGGGACTGGCAGGATTGGGGTGGGTGGGGGGCCTCGTGGGAAAGGAAGCTGTAGTGGGGGAAGGGGTTGCGGGAAGAGCTTTGAAGGCCGGAGGCCAGGTATGGGCGCCCCTGGGGCAGGAAGGCGCCCACTTAAGCCTGGATGGGCTGGAGATGAAAGGGGTATGCCCCCCCACGCCCTGAAGCAGGATGTCCTGGAGGGAACCAGAGTCCCCGCCTGACAGCCTATCCTGTACGGCTAGGCTCCCCTGCCGTCTGATCCATGGCATCACCTCCCCCTACTTTGCCCCACAGCCTGAAACTGAGTAGCACAGGCTTTGTACCAAGGGAAAAGGTAATTTACGTCATCCAAGGTGCCAAAGGTTATGGGTTTGCTATCCCATTCCAGGTATTACCCCATCCCCTGCTCTGCCAGGAGCCACCCTGAAGGAGGCCAAATTATGTATCACTGTGCTGTTGGACGGTGCCACAGGGAGGCAGAGATGCAGCAGGCTGGGCCTGAAGTCTAACTCCCAGCCCAGGATTCCGCAGTTCGCCTGGTGTGGCCTGTACTAGGGACCACATGCCAGTTCTCCTGTTGAGCATCCCTGATGTGGTCATCATAGCGCTTAGTGTCCCAAGCACTGCTTGGTATTTTAATATCAACTTATTTAAGTCTCAAAATTACATCAATCTTATGAAGTAGAATTAAGCCAGGCACTGTTCTAAGAATGTCAATAATAATAATAATAATAATTCAGCACAACTCTGTGAAATAGACATAATTAATATCCCCATTTTATAGATGAAGAAACTTGGTACTCAGAGATGTGAAGTGGCTCAGCTCTAAGTAGGGAAATTGGGATTTAAAGCCAGGCAGGGGCCGGGCATAGTGGCTCATACCTGTAATCCTAACACTTTGGGAGGCTGAGGTGGGAGGACACCTTGAGCCCAGGAATGCAAGCCCAGCCTAGGCAACATAGTGGGACGCTGTCTTTACAAATAATAGTTTTAAAAGATTAACCAGGTGTAGTGGCACATGCCTGTAGTCCCAGCTACTCGAGAGGCTGAGGTGGGAGGATCACTTGAGCCCAGGAGCTCTAGGCTACAGTGAGTTATGATCACACCACTGCACTCCAGCCTGGGTGACAGAGGGAGATCCTGTCTCAAGAAAAACAGAAAGAGAGAAAGAGAGAGAGAGAGAGAGAGAAAGAAAGAGAGAAAATAAGCCCAGGCAGGCTGGCTCCAGAGTACAACTGCTTAACCACTCTGAATTACTACCTCGGCCACTGTGGGAAGTGATAGACTGGGAGAATTCAGAATTCCAGCTTCACCAAGGGGAATGAGTGGACCCTGGGAAGGAATGAGACCTAAGCTGCCCAGCCTAGCACTTTGGCTGGCCTGGAAATGGACTGGCTGAGCATGCCAGTGTCCATGCTCAGGGTAGCTGATGCCTCGGATGGGGTTTCGACACCCTTGGACTTTTAACTCCTTCTCCTCACCCCCCAGCCTGTGACAAGACAGAGAGAAGGAACAAGGAGAGGATATGCTGGAAGTCCTGTCTTGTGCCACCTCAAAGGAACATGTTCTACTCACCAAGGCATAAGGCGACCCAGGCAGGTCCAGGAGGATTTGCTGATGCAGAAGCCCACCAGGGGGTCTGTGATGGCATCCCAGGCTCGGCCCACAAACAGGATGATGGAGGCAGAAAAAGGGCCCACCTGGAATGGGGAGAAGCAAAAGACAACTTCCTCGTCCTTCTACTCACCTCAACTCTCACTGGTAGGTGGAAGCGGAGGCTCCTTCCCTATCTCAGCCAGGATCTTGTGACCCTGAGCTGCTCCTACGTGGACTTTACACATCTTCATTTGCCTTGTTAATAACGACAATAGCATTTCTCCAGTAACAGTAGCACTGGGTGCCTCTATAGAAGCTTTCCCACATCTGTCCCCTTGATTGCTTCCCTCCACTGCCCTTGAAAACATTCCCATCAACTCAAATGAATCCACAAACATTTCCTCCCCTCCCTCTCAGCCCTGAGCCCCTGACCGCCTGGTATCAGAATGAGCATTCGCGGGGTGAACACAGTGTGCTTCAGTGTCCCCATCTGTATAATGGGAGTTATGAGCTCTACCTTACAGATTCAAGCTGTATCTTGGATGTGGAAAAAGAAGCCTATAGATGCTTTTTAAAAAGGGACTTGTCACTACCCACTCAAGCTATCCCCCTCCCTTCCCCCAAACCCCCCAGGCCCTAAATACAGACTCTCCAGACTCCTCCTCATCCATCAAAGCCCTGCTATTGCTATTTCTCCGGGGAGTGGGTATTCTTCCCCATGCCATAGTCTCCCCAGCCTGACCCCCCAACCCCAGCTCTCACACCCACTACAACAGGTTTTCACTTTGACTGCAGGTTCCTCATATTTATACCCTACTCAAGGCCCAGCCCAGGGGAGTTACTCAAAAATTAGCTGCTGAAATGTTTTGTTCTTTCTGGAGCTCAGTGTTCCCCGTCTGTAAATGGATACAACTAAGACTCGATGCTTGCCAAGTTAGATGCTACATAGAAGACAGCCGGTGCAGGAGCCCTGGTAGCCATGGCTATTCTGCCTCCCACTCTCCCATCCAGACAGAGTGAATTCTCAGGATGCCAGGCGTCTGGCCAAGGCTTCTCAATGCACAGAATAGCCCTGTTTCACCCTAAGTACCCCTCCCAGTCAAAGACCCTGTGTACTGGGGCATTCTAAATTAGCATAGCATCTAAGCGCCCCTCTGCTCCTCAGGTAACGGTGGGATGCATCTCGTCCACAAGCCTGGCAACAGCCACCAACCCCTGAGCCAAGCCAGCTGACTACCTCCCAGCCAGGGACACAGTGTGCCAGTCTCTTCTAAGAACAGCATCCCCAGCAGGCCCCCTTCTCCCTCATTCTACCGCCTACCCCTTCAGGCTCTGTTGCTCTTGCCAGGCAAGGAGGAGTTGCCAGACCTTTCCAGCAAAGACTCCTGGGGTGGAGAGACTCCCCTCCTGGATACCGTCCAGGGTCTTCTCATTTCTTGCCCACTGACTCTGAGAGGCAGCAAAGTAGAGATTTGAGGTCCCATTTCACAGATGGGGAAAACTGAGCGAACTGACCCAGGGGTACATAGTCTTTCCCACCTCAGGATGCTGAAGGAGCCCTCAAAGGCTTAGACCACTCACCTGAGCCACATCCAATAGGTAGATCTGAAGGAAGAAACCCAGGGCACAGCCTGTGACCTGGTAGGGGGCTCCCCCAAGTGCATAGCAAAGCTTGCTGCAAACAGACAACTGTTGTTTCTTCTTTTTCGGTTCTTTCTGGGAAGAGGAGAAAAAGATGAAAGGCCCAGGTCCTGGCCTCCATCCAAGAAGGTTCCACAGGAAGGACCGTCCCTCTGACCAACTCTACCAGAACAAACAACTCTACTTTGACCTGTTCCTACCCAGGAGATCCCACCTTTTTTTTTTTTTTTTTTTTTTGAGACTTGGTCTTGCTCTGTCGCCCAGGCTGGAGTGCAGTGGCACGATCTCGACTCACTGCAAGCTCCACCTCCCGGGTTCACACCATTCTCCTCCCTCAGCCTCCCGAGGAACTAGAACTACAGGTGCCTGCTACCATGCCTGGCTAATTTTTTGTAGAGACGGGGTTTCACCGTGTTAGCCAGGATGGTCTCGATCTCCGAGATCCCACTTTCTGCAAGAGAAAGGTGTTCTCCATTCTTAGGAACCTGGAAAAGGGGAATCCATACTTGTGTGAAAGTTGCCCCTAAGCCACCTCCCTCCTGGAGGTTCTAAGGAAACTTATCAGCTCACCATCCCTAAAGAACACCTCCCAAGGCCTCAGCCACTGCTCCTTTCCAAGTTGCAGGGGGAGCATGCTCCAGCAGCGGACCTGTCCCCACCTGGCACCAGCTGCCACAACCTGAAAATCCGCTTGCTGCCAAGAGCTGCCTGAGCCCAGCCCAGGCTCCTGCCCTGCCTCAGAGACAGGATCCACCTGCCTACTCCTGGTGAGTGCTCTAGAGAGCTGTGGGGGCCCGGCCCAGCTAGCTGCAGGCACAGCTCTTCCACCTATTCCAGAGCATCCCTGACCACTATAGGCAACCAGAGCTTCAGGCAGGCCCAGGAACCATCCTGCCCTCCAGCTTCCCCACCCATCGCCCTCCATCCCCGAGCTCCTAGAGGACCTTAGAGAGGGAGGAAAGGCCTCCAGGCCTGAGCCCTCTCCGGGTGGGGCACTAGGGAGGTTGCTTTGCCCAGGGAAAGTAGATATTACTCATACATAGTAACAGCATAATTGCTCACCCAGCTCCTTCCAAGGATCAGTTAATAAAATTAAAAGGAAAAGGCAGTCACCTCCCACAAAGGTATCTATTGCCTGAGATCCCTTCCTAGGGGGCCGCCTCATTTTATTTGGTCCTTCAATAAGTCCCCAGGGCTGGGGATGGGGTCGATGGTCTCGATGCGCAAAGCACCGTTCCCGCGCGAACATCTACATTCAGACAAATGCCTGAGGGACGCGGCTCCTTTAAGAGCAGAGCCCTTGTTCTTATGAATGAACTTGAGCGGCCCTAACCGCAGAGTAGAGGCGCAAGCGTACGTGGGTGAGGTGGAAGGTAGGGGATGAGAGAGGTGGGGAACCAAGCGGAGTTTCCCAGATTTCTGGAGTCATTTCTGGCGTATGGGGTGGCAAGCCCCAGCCGCTCAGCACGGAAGAATGGAAACCGGCTAGGCAGAGCCAGAATCACATGGGGCTGCCGGCAGAGCCTCTCCGCAGAGCGCGGAGTGCGGGTGAGCAAAGGGGGGCGACGGCGCCCACGGCTTTTCTCCGTCACCCCCTGCCCCTGGCACCCCCAGGTCCTCTCTGGCCCGTAGGCTTCCTGTCCCCGGCTATCCCAAGGGTCCCCTGACCAGGCTGACCCCCCGACGCTCCCGATCCCCCATTTCCGCCTACTCCCTCCCCTCGCCCTCCACGCGGGGTGCCGGGCCCTCACCTTCACCTGGGCCGGGCGTTCAGTGGCTTGGAGGATGCTGGTGGGCAGCAGCCCTGCCGCGGAGCCGCTCTCGGCGCCTTCTCCTTTGGCCATGACCCGCGGGCCACGCCGCCTGGCCGGGTCAACGGGATGCTCCTCTGACCCGCAGGCCGCCTCTCCTCCCAAGCTCGCGTCGTAGCAGCCTTAGCCACGGTCGCCGCGCGCTAGCCAAGCCGGCTGGCAGGCGAGGCACGCACTCTGCTGCACACCCCCTCCGCGCCTCTTATAGTTCTGCCCAGCCCTCTCGGGTGCGGCCAATCCCCGAGCCCCGCTGCCCCGCCTCCAGCCAATCCCGTCGCCCGCCCCCCCCCCCCCCCCCGCCCCCGGCCGGCGGCTCTGTGCCACCGAGCCACGTTCTCCAAGCCCCGGAACCGGCATCTGCCTGTGCTGGCTCCTAGCAATCGAGAAGCAGGCCGCGAGACCTCCCAGACACGCGTGAGGAAACCGAGGCCCCAGGCTGGAAGTGATCTGCCCGAGGTCCCCGATCTGCCCGAGGTCCCCGAGGTCCCCAAAGTCCGACTCTCCCCGAGTCGGGCCTACCACACATGACTTCTGACCCCCAGGCCTAGGAAAGGTAGGGGCTCTGAAGCCCACTTTAAAACCTGGAGTCAGGGAGTGTCTCCTTCTCCTTCAAGTCTAGAGGATGTACGCTAACACTTTCCCTCCCGATGCCTCTCTCTCATCCCCGAAGACACACCATTCCCCCGTCCTGCCCTTGGCATCCGGGCAATAGGGAGAAAGATGAAGCAATCCAGAGGCTGCCCCCCTGCCGGCAGGGAGCTCCCAAGTCGTGGAGAGAAGCCCGGGCTACGCCCACTAGTACACTATGACAACAGTGGCCTTTTATGGATAGCTTCCTCCATGCTTAATATGATCTCTTTCGGCCCTCAAAAACCACCAAGTGAGGGTGGTACTATTATTATCCCCATTTTACAGCACAGGAAAGGGAAACATGGAGAAGTGAAACAACTGTTATGTGGCAGAGCCAGGCCTGAAAGGTTTTGTCCGATTCCAAAGCAGTTGCTCTCAACAGCCCTGCTCTATCCCTCTTAGCATAAATTACAGAAGGCTGAATGGGGTGTATGTGTCTCCCCAACAAGAAGCCCTACAAGGCCCCAGAGACACTGAGGGTTGAAACAGGAAAGTTTTGGAAAAGACAATGCCCAGAAATGTGGTCCTCAAAAGAAGATGGGAGGGCATTAGTTTGGAACAGAAGGCAGGCACAGATGCCAGAAAAGAATAGTCTTTAATTCCAGCTCTGAGTCCCTTATGTCAACGTCACCCCAGTCTTTCCAGTTCTCTGATTAGTGAAGGGGCTGCTGGAACTCTCAAAGGCCACCCACTTGGTTCCTGTGCTCCTTAATGTCAGCCTCTTTTTTCTTTTCTTTAAATCTCTGATTGCAGGGAGCAGAGATAAGGTATATCTGCCCCAGGATGGTCACGCCGTGCTCCCTCATACGCCAGCAGATCCTATCTGGGCACACAGCTCTTGGCCATTGCTGAGCAGAAGAGAGCCAAAGTAAGGCAGTGAATACTGTGGAAAGGGAATGGCTGGCCCCATGACTCCAAGCTGTGTGACACTGTTCTGTCTCTTTTCCCCTCTCCAAGCTTGGTTAGCTAAGGTGTACTCTACAATCTCTTCCAGCCCCCAAATCTTCTCTCCCACAGAATCACATCATATCACAAGTAATCTGTATCCCCCCGGTAGACAATGAGCTCCTCAGGTAGGAACCACGTCTTTTTCACTTCTGCATCCCCACTAACTAGCTTAGGGCCTGAATTATTGTGTTCACTGAATGAATGTTCAGTCTTCCCCTGCTAAGGTACAAGCACACAGAAGCCCATCAGGAAAAGCCCTAAGTGTCTCCATTCACTAGCTGTGCAGCTGACCCTGAACAACTCAGTTAACCTCCCTGTGTAAAATGGCGATATTAATAGTAGCTACTGGCCAGGTGCCCTGGCTCACGCCTGTAATCCCAGCATTTTGGGAGGCTGAGGTGGGCGGATCACGAAATCAGGAGTTCGAAACCAGCCTGGCCAATATGGTGAAACCCTGTCTCAACTAAAAATACAAAAATTAGCCGGGTATGGTGGGGCGCACCTGTAGTCCCAGGTACTCAGGAGGCTGAGGCAGAAGAATCGCTTAAACCCAGGAGGCGGAGGTTGCAGTGAGCCGAGATCGTGCCACTGCACTCCAACCTGGGTGACAGAGCAAGACTCTGTCTTAAAAAAAAAAAAAAAATTAATAGTAGCTACCTAATAGATTTGTTTTGGGGATGAAACAAGAAAATGGCACAGGAAAAATTTAGCACAAGTGCCTGGGAGCTGAAACTGGGCTGGTCCCCCTCCTGGCCTGATTCCAGTCTGTCAGTGTAGCAACGCAAGATTCCAGATATGGCCTGACCAAGCCAGCACAATAGGCCTATTATTTTTTCCAGTCTGGACGCGACACATTGTTAATGCAGCCTAAGACTGCTGGGCTTCAGAGCCTTTCTCTCCCATGATTAGTTCCCATCAGGTTGTGGTCAACTAAATCATTCAGATCCTTTTCACCGGAGCTGGGGTCAAGTCAGGTCTTTCCCCCATCCTCTGCTTTCTGTAATGTCTTGAAGCTCACAACAGAACAATGTCATCTTGCTTATTCCAGCCTGTCGAAATTGTTGTGGATGCTGGTTCTATGGCTCACTGTTTTCTCTCACTCTAAATTTAGATCCATCCCTTGCAACTTCAACTCCACCAGCCATGTTGTTGGTCAGGACAGGGCCCCATAATGCAGCACTAGAGACACTCACTGTCACCACTAACTGAATCAGGGCACCGCCAATGCAACACCTCCCAAATATCAAGTAGCCACTGGTATGCAGGGCAGTGTGCCCCTTAAGTGCTTTAAATATACTATGTTTTTTTTTTTTTTTTTCTTTATATCTCATTTAGTCCCAACACCACCACTGGGGAGAGTCGTTTTTATTACCCTCATTTTATTTATTTTTATTTCATTTTCTTAGAGATAGGGTCTTGCTCTCTCACCCAGGCTGGAATGCAGTGGCACGCACGATCATAGCTCACTGCAGCCTTGAATTCCTCAGCTCAAGTGATATGATTAGGCTTTGTGTCCCCACCCAGATCTCACCTTGAATTGTAATCCTAATAATCCCCATACTCCGCAGTCCCCATATGTCAAGGGAGAGACCAGGTGAAGGTGACTGAATCATGGGAATGGTTTCCCTCATGCTGTTCTCATGACAGTGAGTGAGTTGTCACAAGATCTGATGGTTATATAAGGGGCTCTTCCCCCTTTGCTCAGCACTTCTCCTTACTGCTGCTTTGTGAAAAAGATGCCAGCTGTGTGCAGTGGCTCACACCTGTAATCCCAGCACTTTAGGAGGATGAGACAGGTGGATCACTTGAGGTCAGGAGTTTGAGACCAGCCTGGTTGGCCAGGCACGGTGGCTCACGCCTGTAAACCCAGCACTCTGGGAGGCTGAGGCGGGCAGATCACGCGGTCAGGAGATTGAGACCATCCTGGCTAACACAGTGAAAACCCCGTCTCTACTAAAAAATACAAAAAGTTAGCTGGGCGTAGTAGTGGGCGCCTGCAGTCCCAGCTACTCAGGAGGCTGAGGCAGGAGAATGGCGTGAACCCGGGAGGCGGAGCTTGCAGTGAGCCAAGATCACGCCACTGCTCTTCTGCCTGGGCAACAGAACGAGACTCTATCTAAAAAAAAAAAAATGACCAGCCTGGTCAACATGGTGAAACCTGTCTCTACTAAAAATACAAAAATTAACTGGGTGTGGTGGTGTGCGCTTGCAGTCCCAGCTACTTGGGAGGGTGAGGCAGGAGAATCACTTGAACCCAGGAGGTGGAGGTTGCAGTGAGCCGAGATCACGCCACTGCACTCCGGCCTGGGCGACAGAGAGAGACTATCTCAAAAAAAAAAAAAAAAAAAAAAAAAAAAAAAGCCTTGCGTTCATCTTCTGCCATAATTGAAGTTTCTTGAGGCCTCCCCAGCCATGTTGAATTGTGAGTCAATTAAACCTCTTTCCTTTATAAATTACCCAGTGTCAGGCAGTTATTTACAGCAGTATGAAAACAGACTAATATATTAAGCAGTCCTCCTGCCTTAGCTTCCTGAGTAGCTGGGACTATAGCCATGTGCCACCATACCTGGCTAATTTTTAAGTTTTAAAAAATTGACCAGGCGCGGTGGCTCACACCTGTAATCCCGGAACTTTGGGAGGCCGAGGCAGGCAGATCACGAGGTCAGGAAATTGAGACCAACCTGGCCAACACAGTGAAACCCTGTCTCTACTAAAAATACAAAAAATTAGCCAGGCGTGGTGGCCGGCGCCTGTAGTCCCAGCTACTCAGGAGGCTGAGGCAGGAGAATTGCTTGAACCCAGGAGGCGGAGCTTGCAGTGAGCCCAGATCACACCACTGCACTCCAGCCTGGGCAACACAGCAAGACTTCATCTCAAAAAAATAAAATAAAATAAAATAAATGTATTATTATTATTATTATTGTTGTTATTATTCGAGACAGGATCTCACTACGTCTCCACGCAGAAGTGCAGTGGCATGATCACGACTCACTGCTGCCTCAACCTTCTGGGCTCAAGTGATCTTCCCACCTCAACCTCCTGAGCAGCTGGAACTACAGGCATGCACCACAGTACCCGGCTAATTTTTGTATTTTTTTGTAGAAATGGGAGGTCTCACTATGTTGCCTAGTCTGGTCTCAAAATGTCTGGGTTCAAGGGATCCTCCCACCTCGGCCAACCAAAGTGCTGTTAAAATTTTTTGTAGAGACAAAGTCTCACAGTGTTGCCCGTTCTGGTCTTGAACTTCTGGCCCCAAGCGATTCTCACACCTCAGCCTGCCAAAGTGCTGGGATTACAGCCATAAATCACCACACTGGCTATAGTGTTTTGTTATAATGTTGGGTGTGTTAGGCCTCTGGGGCAGACTTCAGGAAATCTCTTCGACCTTCTCTTGCCCTCCTTTCACCTGCCCTAAGGCAGGGCTCTAATCTTCCCCAATCTTTCTGATTGTGAATCTTAAGACCCTCCCTAGAGGGAGTCCTGTCCTAAACCCTGGGGGAAGGAATGCTGAAGTCATGAGGCTTCCATTAAAAACCCCTGAGAAGAGGCTTGGCGCAGTGGCTCACGCCTGTAATCCCAGCACTTTGGGAGGCCAAGGCAGGTGGATCACAAGGTCCGGAAATCGAGAC